GTCGCCTAAAGAATCCGGTGGTAGCCAATATCGTGCCTATTGGTAGGGATTGAGTCACAGGGACAAGTGGAAAGAATGAAAGTTAGATAATTGCCATGCCCACAAATACCTTTGGTATTGCAAGTGACACGACCCCTACGTACCAGCATAAGGCGAGCCTAGCTCCAGATTGATGACGGCATGCTTACCTGGTCACATTATGCATTCCAGCAGCGACTGAAACACAAGGCCGAGGAAACAGGCGTAATGGTAATTATCCAGGATGAGGTGTGCACCTCCAAGACCTACAGCTATTGTGGGAACGTACAAAACATTAGCGGAAGAAGAGTTTATAAATGCGGAAACTGTCATACGATTATAGACAGAGATGTAGGCATCTTCCTACGGGCGTTGCTTGGTGGAGCCATTCCCATGTGGATGTTGGAATTGATGATCTTTACTTAGCAATGACTAGTAATGATTATCAATGATGTGTTAATAAAATCAAAAATCAAAAATATGTAATTCGTTATGGATGTAATCTGAAGGATAAATTTCATATAGCGTGATTATTAGACGTGACGTATGAACAAGCTAAAAAAAGTATTTGTACATACTCCAGATGTTTGTGAAAGAATCTTTGCGTTTTTTAAGCAATTTTTTGGTAATTTATTATTCGTATAAAAAATTTCCGGTAAATTCCGCGAAGCAGGACACTACCATTCCTGATATACGTATGTATCTTGGAGGTTATTCTGGGACATCGAAATTATCATCATTATTACTAAAACAAGCTTATAACTGTTGGCATTTCCGTTTTGGCTTTACATGCAATTCTACGAAATAATATTATAGCAAGATGTCATACATTTCAACTGCTGACCCTCAGGTTGAGTTTAATTATAGACTTTTTGAGATCGAAATAATTAAAGATCGGAATGCTGCGATTTGATACAAGCAACTATCTATAGCAAGTACAGCCTGCATCAAATAATCTTAAGACTTCGATTTGCAACGAGAGGGGAAATATTGGGCCTTGCTACGGTTATTATCCCGTAGGAGGAATAAAATAGCCGCAAATAACCTATGGTTATTATGGCGCTTCAATATAAAAGTACAGTAGTTGGTACTAAAACTTGCATGTTGATCAACCAATAATTAATTAGACATTACGCTTAAATGAAATGAAAAATTTTAAGATGCAGATGAGTTAAGGTATAAATATATCAAGAGACTGACCAAATCCGCAACAAAAGCCTAAGAACAACTAGCTTGTTTCTAAAGAAAGACAACCAAACGATCCAGCTTTCTTTAAACTACAGGACAAGCTTTTTACCCTTTAATTGCAACTATCATATTGACCCTCAATATCAAACGCCGAATATTCTATTATGAAGATTTCTGCAATTCTTACAGTGACTCTTGGAATGGCCCTTCTTGCCGCAGCGACGAGTCCAAAGGATCCAACCAAAAAAGGCACTGGAAACGAAGCAGCTGACCATCCTCTCGGTGGTATTCAAATGCCAGTTATTAAGCAGAATGGCAGAAGTTTTTATGTTGGTCAATCCTCCTTTCAAAGCGAGTTTGCTGCACACAGAAATCAATGTGCTGTTCAACACGATGCATGTGTAGCTGCTGTCGGCAAGAACCCTGAAATTACCAGCGTTGGTGCTTGTGATTATCAAAAACTAACTTGTGATAATGGTGCCCCTATATATGGATAAATAATGTACTGTATCACGGAATTTATATTATCGTATTACAATAGTGAGTTTTTTGTGCATATTATATAAATGAGCGCGGAAGGGTGACTTCTGGAAATAAAATAAAATCGTCATGTTATAGAATTTTTGAATTCTAAATCATTGAATTATTAGGTTTATTATTTTTTAAAACATTAAAAGCTTTTTACTGCATCAAACCAGACATGTCTTATCTATTCGCACGCTGTCCGAAGCGTCACGTAAGACTACCATTATACACTAAACCTGACATGTCTTGTCTGTCCACACGTAACGAAAATATGTACGAAAGCCAGTCGGTCATGTGACATGTGTTATTTAATTTATTCCTTCGCTTCGGGCGTATCAACGGTTTCCGTTACCTAGTATTAATAATTTTTTAAAGTTTTTATATAATATTAACATATAATGAAATATTATTATTATTAAAATATAAATAATTTTTTTAAGTAGGTAAATATCATCATTTTATTATTTTGTAAAAATATAAAAATTTCATATATGAAAAAAATGACAATATTTCTTATATGACCAATTGATTAAAAAGTTTAATACTAGCTTATTTGTGATAACTTATTTAACTAGTAATATATATATATATTAAAATTGATATACAGTATATTAAAAGAGAAAAAGTAAAATAGTAGTAACATGATTTGGGTTATATAATCAATGATCAATTCTAGAAATCATAAGAAAAAATAAAACAGAAATTATAATATAATTAAATAAAAATATTAAAAAAAAAAAACAAAATTTTCTTATTTTTATTATGTTTTTTAATTGTTTTTAAAGTTTTTTTACAAATATATATAAAAATATTAATATTTTATAATAAAGAATGATAAAAATAATAATAACATGAAATATTATAATTTATCTTGATTAAATCAAACATTTTACTAATTAATCTATATTAAAAATAGTGTTGTGCAGCAATAAATATCTATTTAAATTTATATATAATAAGACTTAAATAAAATAAAATAAAATATCAAATAAAAAGAAAATATAAAAAAAACTAATTTTAATACAAAAAATACTTAAAATACAAAAAGTATTTAAACATATTACTTTGGCAATTCCTTTTTTTTAAAATATAATAATATTTTCTAAAATTGCTAATTTATTGTTTAAAATATAAAATAATATTAATAACATGTTTTTTAATAACTGATTGAATATAATAGATATTAATTAATAATAATAATGATAATAATAATATAATTATTATTTAAATGTTTTGTTATAATCCATATATATATATATATATATAATACAAAAAATATTTATGGTACAAAAGATCTTAAGTATATTATTTTGATAATTTTTTTTTTTTTAAATATAATAATATTTTTTAAAATAGTTAAATTATTATTTAAAGTGTATAATAATATTAATAATATAATTATTGTTTTGTTATTATTTTGTTAATAATTAATATAATATAATTTTTATTTGAATTTTTTTTTATAGCAATAAATATTTAATTAGATATGTTTTTATAAATAAAATTATTTATATTGATATTTAATAAATATTATAAACATATTTTAATAATTTGTAAAATATAATTAATTAAAAATAAAATGTTAATTAGTTGTTAAAAATAAAATAATTTCAGTTTTTTAAAATTTTGTGATACAATAATATGTAAAAATTATTATTATCAAAATATATAAATAATCTTTTAAATTATTTTTAAAAACAAATATAATATATAAAATATATTGATTACTTTTTTTATAATTATTAAAAAATATAAGAAATTTTTAAAAAAGAGTAACTGATACAAATCTTTATTTATACAATACAAAAATAAATAATTACTTAAAAAAATTTTTTTGAAAATAAATATTATATAAAAAAATGTTTTTTTTGAACTTTAAATATAAAAAATATTTTTAATATTACAAAAATATATCTAATATATAAAATTTCAATTATTTTTATAATTTTTATAATTTCAATATTACTAACTCGTTTAATAAATAAAGCAAAAATTTATATAACAAGTGATATCGCAATTCAATTGTTTTTAAAATAAAACTTTTTTTAAAAAAACTTTTTATTAATCATATTTAATTTAATATTCTAAATCGTATAACGTTTAATTAAACATGAAAGAAAGAAACAGGTGAAAAAAATTAGAGTTTTTAGATAATAGCATTGTTAAAAATAAGTACCATATATAAACTTTATTTTAAAGAAATAATATACTGTATATTGAGATTTATTAATTTTTTTAGAAAATCGAGAAACCCTCTATGAAAAATAACATACAAAGAATTTTAAATAGCTTTTTTAAAACCACATCAAAACAGTTTATTCTTCATTATTCATTTTACTTTGTTTACTTGTCGGTGTCAATGCTTTATTTGCCGTATACATGTTTTGTTTGCCAGATTAACTTAAGATAAGTTAAAAAGAATAAGAATAGTAGGATGATGTGACGAGAACGAAATAAATTTGTTTTATGACAAAAAAAGAATATGGTCATGGAAAAGTGATCTTTGGTTTATAATGGGGTATTATTGTAATTATAAAAGACGACGTTGATAAATATCGGAAAAATTTTAGATCAAATTCTGATTTTCTACCAATCGAATTTATGAGAGATTTGTCGTTAAAAAATAACGAATTGATTTGAAGTCATTCAACTAATGGTCTAGATGAGTGATACGAAGTAAGGTCACTAGCGACATGTTCATAGGGAGACACATTTCTTCGTTGGTCCCGGGAGATTGACATAAAGAAAGTGGCCGAATGAATACCTTTCGAACATTCTGCTGCTCCCAAAATGGCCATCATATTTTTTAATTGGTTTATATATATATAATTAGAGACATCCTATCATGCAATTTTTTTGTACACGTACCAAATCCGATCGTACATGTATTTATCCTCAGGAGAGCAACTCCTCCAAAAGAGACTCGCGCTACGAGAAATGTCTTTGAGATGCAAACCGATTTCCGGCCCCTGCTCAACGGTTATACGAACCTGATAGTCTTTTCTGAATATTATGAAACTGTTTTGGGAATGAGTTGCGGTACGCTTTGGGGAATATGAGGTCATGAAGAGGGAGAAACACTTTGGATTCATACTTGACCCGTTCTCCACAAAATCTGGATCACGGTGAAAAAAAATTGAACGTACTTTGACGCGTCGAGTCATTAGGATGGGACGCATTTTTTCAAAAAATTAAATTCGACATCTTAAAGCACTTATTAATATACATCCCTATCAAATTATTAAAAATAATGAAAAAGAATTGACTTTATTTGATTATAAACCAATGTTGCAACCGATTACGATAAGTCCAAAGTTGCAACATATTACAGTCAAATGGTAATGATATGAATTATTTGTAAAATAATGCAATGAGAAAATAAAAATCTTTTAAAATGATCAAGAGAAGAAATATGACTGTGAGATTAATAACCACATGCGCATATAACGTAGGAACTAAAATCCAGATTCATTCGATTCTTTGTGAATTTCCCACCAATATATCTTACTACTTTACCAACTTCTCTTGAAATGTAGGACACAAGAGAAGATGTAAAAAAAAAAACAACAAACCATTTAAACACACATACATACTTGAAGATGACATGTCATTAAGAGATGCAAGGAGGAATTGAGATGAATAAAAAATTTACATGGGATTTTTAGTATATAACATAGAGTGTAATATACTGTAACTCTAGAACAATCGCGAAGACCTAAATAAAGGGTCCACCTGATAGAATTTGCTCTATAAATTGAGCGAATCTAACTTCGTTTTCTTGATTCGTCTCGGTTCCAAAATATGATAATGTTTCTCTAATATCGGTATTAATTGAATAGAGAAGTCCTTCTTGCATTTTGTTATAAACGTACGGATAGAAATATTCGATTATATATATGATAATAAATTTTTGAGAATAGGTTTTCGTTAATACCTAATTTAAAAAATGGTGGGCAATAAATGAATGATGATGATGACACGGTTAAAAAGTCAAAAGCACAAGAACAGAATCGCACACGCGAGTCTAATAAGTTTTTAATGGCGGTGTAATTTTTACGGGTGATAGTTTTTTTTTGGAACCCGGTTTTTTCCTACTTCGAATGATGAACCTAAATTGCGTTCCGAAATTTCATTCAACTCCAAAAGAGTTACCAATGTTCTCTTCAAAAGCGTGCACGCCAAATACACGAGAATAATTTTTATGTCACACGCAAATGCATAACTGATAACAGATCAATTACATAAGAACATGTACTGTATGCATAACTACTAACACTATGCTTTGTTACAAATTGCCACCCTTAAACATTCATCGACAGATGATGCCATGAAACAAAGAAGAGAGAGACAAAGAAAGTCCTGAAACACATAGGAGTCTTTTGTGTAAATACGCAAATTAAAATACTATAGTATAGTTTCATATACACAACATTCCTCGTGGCGTTATTTAAGACCGGGGTGGAGTACAAACGAAATGAGTAATTAGGTAATTTAGGAGACAGCACACTTCTTTACGGCCAATGCGTACATGTTACTATATACGCGCTACGGGGATGGCAATATACCGTATACAGAACTCGGGTCATAATAATCACATTTCTAAGGTTCTCTAAAAATGAAATAAAGCTCATTGAATTGATTCATTCATCATTGATTCATTTGCATTTAATGTATGCAAGGGGAAAAACAAAGGGTCGTATTACACCGGGTATTGGGTTTACCTTTTCAGGGAGTAAATGACTCACAAACAGGGCTCATTTGACAATTTGAACATGTGAACATATCCGATCGCCATTACGTGGAAACAGATTCTAGAAGTTACCTATATTTGCGACTGGAAAATTGAGTATCTAAGATGACACTGTTAAAACCTAACAATATTTGAAAACAAAATTTTACGAAGGTAATAGAATACACTCTCGTGTGTGCATAACTTTGTTGCATAATATGATTATCCAAAGATAGGCGTGATTCAAGACATGTCATTTTATGTATGTTTTTAGTCACAAAATTATATTTGCAAGAGCCTGTGAATTGTAGGGTGGACAATCAGAATGAAATAACTATACTATCATGTTTCCTTTCTTTACTTTACTTTCATAACGATTAATTAAAAGGTTATTTATTCATTTATTAAATTAATGCTCAATACATTCAAAAGGATAAACTACCGTCGGTTTTGGATGATGAAAACGACGGTACGCAGAATATTAATGAATAGCGAAAGAAAGGAAAATTTTTGGAAATATTCTAGACTAATCAATTCTATTGTCGGAATTCTAATAATTGTGGAAACAAAAATGCGTTTGTTTAAGAAATGTCGGAATTAAAGTTCACGAAAAACTAGAATTCGGAAAGAAATTGTAAATTCCGTAAAAACGTTGAAATTGGATTGTACGAATGAAGAAACGATATTGACTGGCGTAAGGAATTGATATTCCGAAGTGAGTGCGAAATGTCACAAATATGACGGAAAAGTTCCAAAGGTAAAATGCACAAGATTATTGGTAGAACGAGTGGTCGAGAATCCGAAAAAAAAATAGAAATTCTATTGATACGAGGGGATGGTCTCGAAAAAGGACCATAGAAACAATACAAAGGGGATTAAACTCCGAGAAGATAGTAAAATATTACTCGTACAAGAGATTGAATTTAGAAGTTCTGACCGCACAGAAAATAAATATTCGGTATAATATTTCAGTATTTTAGTGGTCCTTCGCCAGCTCGCAAGACTATGGCCATTATTTTCAAGTAAATGATAAAGACCCCTCGAAAAAATCGAAACCGGTTGGCAGATTCGTGGACGACGGATCACAAAAGCACGTTCCTTGGATTGATAAAGGTGTCGGTTGAACAGCAACCTGTTGTATCTGTTCTCTGTCCTGTTGGACACGGCGAGCGATTTCGATCTTCCTTTCTACTGAGTGATCGTCTGGGGCTGAAGAATTTTCGTTATTGTCAAGCATCGTGAGATCCTTAAAGTCGAAGGATCATAGAAAAGAGAGGATATTTATAACTTTTTTAATAAAATATCATATACGAATGTTAATTATAAACGGCGAAGCGGCTTCTGCTGGAATACAATAAACACAAACACAAATGTTATAAAGGAGCTCCACTCGTTGCACGAAATTACTTCTTTTTATGACTAAAAACATAATATTACTATAAGTCGCGCTTGGCTCAATCATTTGCAAAAGAATTATAGTCCTGCCAAAGAAATGTCATGCTGTGCGTGAAAACATAATTGGTACGATTTGCATATCCCGAGGGATTGTAATCGTGATCCATATGCATAGTGTCATATGGTGTACTAGTGTATGTCCTTTGTTTTGGAACAGATAATTCAAACCCTCACTGTAACACATGGTCTCACGTTTTACAGATTCGGTTGTAAATATCATTTATGCATATGCATATACAGTACATATATTGATCACAGTAGAAATTCAAATAAATTTGAGTTTTTTTTTTTTTTTTGTTTGTCATTTGTTGACAATCAATAAAAAACTAGGCCGTATAAAATGGAAATTTCATATATTAAAATTATATTTTATATTTTTTAAAAAAAAAAAATATTATAATAAGACCAAAAATAATATGATGTGATAAATAAAATATTCAAGTAAATATTCAAATAAATATTCATATCTAATATTATAAATTTTTCTACTATTGTATATAAAATAAATAGTTGTTGATTTTATTGTTTTAAATTATTATCATTAATTTTTTTTTGTTATAAAATAATATTAAATGTAGGACTTTTATTAAATACAGATTTATGGTCATTATAATAAATATCCTTATTTTTAATTGTATAATAGATAAATATTAATTTATTATATATAGTATTTTAATTTAATTCTATATAATGTCAAATAAATAAAACAAAATTAAAAATAATCTATAAGTAATTAATATCATAAACAATATAATAATATATTATAAATATTATAAAAATAATTTATATAACTATTATAGACAATATTATTTTTAATATAATACCATCCTTTTAATATAATATTTTATTAAAAGTTATATATATATATGATAATTTAATATTAACTTAAATAGATATTTAATATTATAATAAAATTATCAATTAATTAATAAAATTAAAATCAAGAATAAATGATACAATATATATATCCAGGAAATTTTATATTTAAAAATAAAAATAATAATTAAAAAATCAAAAGTATTATAAATAAACTATACAATACTCAAGTATATAGGCTCCACAGGTATTGAAAAACTAACAATTTTCTTTAATCAAATTTTTTAATCTAAAAAAATTTTTAACAAATAACAATATAATCTTATTTATTCAATTCTAAAAAATTCAAATTAAAAATATAACTTAAATTTAATCAAACCAATAACACTTCTTAAAACAATTAAAAAAGTCTTTATAAAAATCAAAATAATAAATTTGCATAAGTTTAACAACATATCAAATTCTTTTTTTTCTTAATTAAGTAAAACTTTATATTAAAAAAATATATAAATTGTTAATAATTATCAATTATATTATAAAATAAATAAGAAAAATGGATAAGAAATTATAAATACTTAATTAAGATATTAACAAAACATATAATTTTATAAAGTATAAAATACTTAACCAAGTAATAAATTATATTAAAATTCTATTTCCTATTATATTACAAAATATATTGATTAAGTAATTATAAAATATAAACTTATTAAATTATTTTATATTATATTGAGCATAAATAAAAAAAATACAATATTATCTTTTCTTTAATACATCTATTATTACTTTCTAATTATAAGTATAAAAAATGTAAAGTTAAATTATAAAAAATATAAAGTTAAATTATAAAAAATATTAATTATATATTTCAGATAATAAAACAGATATACAATATACTGTATATTTTATCAGTATCTTATATAAATAATACAATATGATTTACAAATTTAAAAAAAAAATATAAAAGATTATGAATTTAATAAATAATTTCACAAAAATAGCAAGTTTAAATTTGAAAAAATATTTATTTTTTCACAATTATTAATTAAAATATTTATATAAGCAAAATTAATAAATAGGTCAGAGTTTTGGATAATATATTTAAAGTTCAATATTTTATATAAATAGTAGATAACTCTTTAATTAAGAATATAGATATTGTAAATTGAATATAAAAAAACAAAAACAAATATAATAGAAATATTCATCTAAAAAAAATAATAATAATACTATTAGTCAAAAGAATAAAAAATAGTTTAAAACTATACAATTTGATAATAAATAACTTGTCATAAATATAAATTTCATTTAACTTATTTAAATATATTTATAACTAAAGCAATTAATATTAAATATAAATAACAAAATCTTAGTTAAAATTAACAACACAAATATAAAATCAATAAGGATAATTCAAATACAAATTTTAAAATTTCAAAAACAAATAAACAAAAATTGAAACAGATCTAAAACAAATATAGAATTAAAAAATTTATATAAATATATAATAGTATTCAAAATTATTTAGAAATTTTCTCAATATGTATAACTCAGTAAAAACTTATTTAAATCAAACACAAATTTAAATATAAATATATGAATACTATAAAATTACTTTTACTTATAACTAGTTTATAGATTATATTATTA